GTATTATACATATTATCGTTGTCGATATGTGTCCAAGAAAGTTCAGTCTTCAAAGATTTATGAAAAATGGTAAGTGTTGTTATTCTATAACAGTGATTAACCACATTTATTTAGTAGCAAAATGGTTTACTACAAAGTTTATTAACTAGATGTTAAAAGCAAAGTTAGTGAAACTTTCGTTATATGTGTATAGACTCACGTGTTTTGAAGTTAGATTGACTGAACATGTCACAATGAGTCAGAGTGAAATGTCTCCATAGTGTTAATGAACCACAGATGGAAATGAAAAGAACGTCTATATGCTGCATACTGTTCTACGGAAGTATAGAAACATATTTATCAAACATACGCAATTAAATGTACGTTAAAATCTGTATACAATCCTTAGTAACATTACTCACCTTTGTAAAATACATGTAATACAAATAAATGTAATAGAGAATAAAAACGTAAATTGTGACTTCATTCAAGTAATGGATAACAGCAGAGTTGTTAAAATCCTGTTAAAATAATGGTTTTAACATAATTAAATCTACCCATTGATGACGTAATCATATGTGGAAGTATAGTAACACTGTCCACCCTTGTAAAACTCGTGTAAGATAAAACTAAAGTAAAATGTGTAAATGAATTATTTTGTCAAGTTATATGAATATCATAAGGTCAACTAAGTGAAACAGGAAATTGTAAAGCATTGACTAATATTTAAATATACGTCTTTTTCTGGACGTTTTACATAAAAATGGTCAGGAAAGTGCGGGGATTACTACCGACCTTCCCCGACACACCAAACATGCTCGCCCTTTCAGCCGTGGGGGCGTTATAATGTGACGATCAATCCCACTATTCGTTGGTAAAAGAGTAGCCCAAGAGTTGGCGGTGGGTGGTGATGACTAGCTGCCTTCTCTCTAGTCTTACACTGCTAAATTAGGGACGGCTAGCGCAGATAGCCCTCGTGTAGCTTTGCGCGAAATTCAAAAACAAACAAACTACCGACCACGCAATTCATTTAGATAATCCAACATCAGTTATATTCTTTGTAAGTGCACATACATTATCTGTTGCTCTAAATATAGCTTAACAAAGCCAATAAATTATTCTCTATCTTCACAGTTGTCATCTAGAAGGCGTAGACATATTGGTAAATGTTCCACAGTGTGAGTATACCCTTCATCAACAAGAACAAAGTAGAATCCAGCCTTTCTTACTTCATCAATAATTATTACTGGAATTACTTCATATCCTATGACATTGATGATGTAATTTTATGAGTGGGGAGATAACTATGTAGTATTTTTTTTTCATGGGATGATATAAGTGAGTTATCAATATTTCATCATTTTCAGAATAATGTTTCAGCAATGCCAGAATTTTTAAAAGAATTTAAATCTTCGGTATCACCACGAAATGCCAAGCCTTGTTTTCCTAAAAACAAAATGGTACGAACAATTTGATGAATAATATGTTTATTCTGAATTATACGTGATCAAAGGGCACTGTTGGTAATCACATCAGTTCTACTGGATGATCAATGTTTAATGTAAGCCTTCAAATCATCAGCAGCCTGCATAGAATCACGATGATAAATAAGCTTATAATAATTTCTTACAGTGTTACTAATTTTTACCCAGTTGTTAAGTGATTTGTTGACGAGTGCTACTTTATGCACTGGTAGAAGGGTAGCACAAGGACCACAGAAAATGCCATCCAAGGTTGGGCTGTATAATAACCACGAGTATTTTTCAAGCCAGGCTATTTTAAACTTACGATTACACCCATGATAAAAGTTGGCTGGAAAACATTTTAGTGGTGCCACGTGCTTATAAAGATAGGAATACTTTTCAGCATTTGATAAATTACTAATAACTTGGCATTTTTCATCAAGTGATTTTGTTGGTGTCAATACATTGCCAATGTCAGTGCATGGCTCAGTGAGCACAGAAATACCATGACAAATCTCTGAATCCATGATTATTGTAGTGCAATGCGATGATGATGGTCCAGGAAGAACTGAGTTGTCAGTGCTTGAAGCAGTTTTAGGCTCAAGTAAACCAGTTTACATATCATCAATGTCATCACCACAAGAATATAGCTCAATAGTGTCAACCTTACAAGCTTCACACATTCATCGTCGGCACCAGAGAAAGATTGAGATGTTGACTGGGTTGTGTCATTAGCAGTGTTCTGAAAACACTAATATATAGCAATTTTAAAGAGGTGACCAGTATATAGCATTAACGTAACATTATAGTTTGTATGATACATAAAATCTGTAGCAGTATTGTTGTTGTATTCATCTATATATATATAGATGAATTATAATATCATGTATTGGTATTCATGGATTAAACACAAACTTTGTAATTTAAAACACCAGACAAATGCATAGCCCAATACAATGTAGCTATTCTAATTGCATGTCAAAATTGCAGCAAAACTACCTAGTCCTGTACCTTGGTCGTCACGTGCCAATCGTTTTCTTTTGCTGGCAAAAAACATTCATATATTGTTGCAATCAGTTTCGAATAGATGATTCATTCTGTTCAATAAGAAGTGTCGAAGGTTTAACTTATATACCGTATACCGTGTAGTCTCACGAGCCTGACTGTTACTTGTATAGCGGGTAATTTTCAAATGGGTTTAAGATTAGTACAATTCTCACCTTCTTCCTTATACGAAAATAAAAACCTACAAAAATGAGATTTATCAAACCCACAATCACTTTATGCTTCTGTTTCCGTGACATGAAAAAACTTGCTTGTGCTCAAAACCATGTGTAGCTGTTACATATACACAATTGTTTCAGTTTACGTTTAATGCGAGGGTTATGATTTGGATAGTTTATATAGCGCGGATGTCATATTTTGTTCTTTTCAGAAACGAGAATTTATGGCAAGTTTATTTACATAACTGTTTACGTATCATACATACCTTGTGAAGCGTGTACGTTCATTTGTTATGAGTTAGCGATTGTTATATTGTTGCGTCATGTTACTAGAACTTCCTTAATTTTTCTCGTTGTTTTAACTGAGTGTAATTGCATCAGAATATCTAGTATTGCGTGGAATATTCTAGACTTCTGTCGGGATATCAATACGTATTTAAATATTATTATTTAGATCTAGACTACGTGACTGTGAGTTTAGCGATAAAGACCCCCACCCCACATACACACTGCATACGTGACTGCATCACCTGTACAAATCCTATCTCAGTTCTTCTTAATTTTAAAGACAGAGAGACAAAAGTGAACAAAGCTACGGACTTGGCCAATTGACCCAAAAAGGAGAGAAGGAAAGATTACATGTTTATTAGAATAATTGTTGGCCTATCTTGTAACCCAGATGCAGAGTGCTTGACTCGCAGTCTGCAGGTTCGAATCCCCGTCCCACCAAACATACTCGCCCTTTCAGCTGTTGGGGCGTTATAATGTTACGATCAATCCCACTATTGGTTTGTAAAAAGTAGTTTAAGAGTTGGCGGTGATGACTAGCTGCTTTTCCTCTAGTCTTTCCTGCCAAATTAGGGACGGCTAGCGCAGATAGTGGGATTGTCCGTCACATTATAACGCCCCCACAGCTGAAAGGGCGAGCATTTTTGGTGTGACGGGGATTCAAACCGCAGATTGCGAGTCGAGTGCCCTAACCACCTAGCCATGCCGGGCCACGCTGAGTTTGAGTTAGAATAAATATTACAATTTTCATACCTAGATATTACTTGAGTACGGAAGCATATTATGCTAGTAGAATAATAAAATAGCAAAGAACAATTTATAATCATAATGAAGTGTTTTATTTGGGGGGGGGGGCACACTACATGTTTCGACAAAATATTGGCCTGTAGAAACATGTAGTACGTTCCTCCAAAAATAAATCACTTCATTATGCTTATATATCGTTGTTGCTATCTTATTATAGTACCTATATATTAAATACTATGCTTGAAAGTATGTAACTTCAAATGTTGTTTTCGTCGTTCAAAGCTACACAATGTGCTATCTGCATTCTATAAACCGCCAAGAATCGAATCCGGATTTTAGCGTTATAATGCACATTAAAGTCAAATAGATATAACTTGGGCAGAATGATGTGTGGCGTCACATCGTAGCTTAAAACTATTTCATCTTTCAATAACAAGTTTGTTTGTTTGTTTGTTTTGAATTTCGCGTAAAGCTACACGAAGGCTATCTGCGTTAGCCGTCCCTAATTTAGCAGTGTAAGACTAGAGGGAAGGCAGCTAGTCATCACCACCCACCGCCAACTCTTTTACCAATGAATAGTGGGATTAACCGTGGGATTTTAATGAAAAATACTTTAACAAACTAAACTTTAGAACCCTTAAATAATGGAAAATTAATCGTAAGCTATGTATGGAATAACTAGTATTTTTGTGTAAATACTAAATAGCTTAATAAGGTTTTTCGTTTGGTTATTTTAGAACAAAGCCACAGTGGGATATCTGCTGTGTCCACCACGAGGAATCGAACCCCGGTTTTCAACAGTATAAATCCTTAGACTTACCGCTGTCCTACTGGGGACAGCTTAATAAGAAGTGGTAAACGGTATTATTTTACCCATTTTAAGAAATTTAAATCATTCATTTAGTTACAAGTGGTGTTTTGTTTTTTCAGTGAAGTTTGATTTTAACCTTGTACAAGCTTCACATCTTGTATGTGTTGATTTTAAAGCAATAATATATTGTAGATTATGTCAGACTAGGGATTACATGGAGAGCCTCACTGAACTTTTTTAACAAAAATAAAGGAACACGGAATTTTCAAATATTTCCTTCTCTAATTGTGCTTTATTCATTCTAAACACACAAACCACTATGCTTAACGATCTAATTACGTGTGTTTCATTCATCTAGTTCGCAATAAGGCTCGCTCCATATCTAAATAGACGCCTATTAAAATAACCTTTAAATAAATACAATGCACACAGCTTTGAAAGAAGATGTCTGTGCTCACCAGATTAAACAGTTTTGAAGCCACGTCTGTTTTGTCTACACCTTTCATAAAATTCACAAGTGTTCTAACGGTTTCAACAGTTTGGTCGGGTTCTTGTGGTTTGTTCAGTACAAACAAAATGAATGCAATAATCTAGTTTGCTTAATTATAACGAAAGCGTTATATTTCTTCAACTATAAGATCTACACTTACAGTATTTTACGAGCTAACGGTAGATCTATCTTGCCAATAACTCTAAACATTTACTTGCTATTTTTTCCCATCTACAGTACTTCGTCGAAATACAAACTCAATATTCACGAAAATGAAGGAACAGACAAACAGACTCAATAATCAATCGATGAGTGCAACAGACTCACTAATTAATCAACTATCTCCTCTAGTCTCGCGTAACCTGCGTTTAATATTGTTCAAATCGTTTCTTACACTTTCAAGACAATTCTAGTTAATACACGACGTAAAAGCCCTCTCTAGCAAAAACAAAAACATGAACTAACAAATTAAAGACATAAACTAAAACATTGCCCGTTCATAAATCGTGAAGTCGTTTGAACAATTCCATTAAACAAAGAAACCAATGGCACATAAAACTTAACTTTCATAATTAACAATAAAGCAATTCGTTAAATTAACATGAATATTTAAATATACACACATTACAGTGATTAAATCATTAATAGTGTGCAACAAAATACATTCAAAACTATGATAACAAAACAAAATATTTTTCACTCGTTTATTGTCCCTCAATCGTCCAGTCATCAAATATTTTTCTTTTCTGTGGCTTATGGTACGAAAATTGGATGACCTCTTGTCCTTTTATAGCACCTGCTGCCACGTCACCAGGAAAGTTCTCATTCAGCTGATGGTCGAGGGAATTCACTGGATCCATCCGTGGTGACACCCTGGAAGTGGACTTAACAGGAACATCAGGCTCTTCAGCAGGTCGATTTACCTTCGGTGAAGTCTTCTTAGAAGTCCACCAGTTGGCTGTTCTCCTCCCAATGTATTTCCAAAGACGATCAAAGTAGGTGACATTTAGCTTAAACGATCTGTATTTCTGAATTCTACTTTGTCTTCATTTTATTATGCTTCCACCCACATTGCCACTGTAAACCTTACATCTGATGGTTTCATTCTTGTGTAATGCACGAAAATTTCTTGATTATACACTATAAAACTGTTCAAAACGAGTCTTATTTCTCTTCCCAATATTCACTTTTCCTCTATGTCATTTACCCATCCACCATGTTGTGTAAAGATGCTTCCTAACATGAGGATGACTTCTGTGGTATGCAAACATAATACATCTTTTCCACCTTCTTTACATGAATAATTTATAAATTTTTCATGCACGTGAGTGTACGTAGTTTTAACAAAGAAGTTGGTAGAGGAAATAGCTAAGTTTCTTTCACTTTAGTTATTGGTTAATCTGGTTCAATAGTTTTAAGGAAATCACGTGCATCGCCTCTTTGGAAAGATTTCTGTAAGGTAGAACATACTATGTGAAAGCGGACTGCTCTTTTTCACTGGTGGATCAGGTGATACCGTCACATTAGAACTTCCCGTATTTCTCAATGGGATAATCAACAGTGACTTGAGTAGTGCACACACTCTGAGAATGAATGGGATTATTGTTTAGTACAAATAATGATATGTTTTTTCAATTTGGAACAGTTCTTCACAGAGATTTATAGAAATTTACTTCTTTATTGATAACTCTCAAACCTCCGGTAAAGTCGCCGTGCTTTGTCATATCTATTGACTATTATTGTTTTGGTGAATAAATAAAGACTGTTTCACATTGTTATACACTTTGGCCAGTTTCTTTCTTTCAGAACTCAGTCAAAGTCACTTAATTCATATTTACTTCCTCAAAACATTTTCTGTTGAAAAACCTCGTGTTTTTGTTTGGAATATACTCGATTACTTTAAAGGAAAATTATTGCACCTGAGAATATCACACTTCTGATTTTCCTCTTTCTGGAACTTTATGACTGCTGGTTATTGACATCAATCCATCCTCTTGCTTAATTTCCGGAGGCAATTTCCCACCTTTCATTACAATTGAAACACCTTCTATCCTTTGATTTACTTCTTCCACTCTGAGTCAATGGTCTTATATTTAACCATTTGAGCTTTTATAGATCTTCATCAGAGATAGCTGGTGGTTTTGGTGTTTCAACAATATTCTGTCTGATAATTTCGTAATTCACAGATGTAGAATTTGATTATTTATTTACAATTTTAACTGATTCAAGATCCAGTGCCAACTAGACAGCTTCCTTTAAAGATGTACATAACTTTATAAACTTAATTTGCGATATCTTCATCCACTATGGCAACTATAAATTGGTCGCATGCCAATGAATTCATTGAGTATTCAAGCGAGTATTGTTCCATTATAGTGTCGCGTAGTTTATAAAAAGTTCGAAGCCTCAGTGAACAAGGTAGATATATATAGGTGAATCGCGAGCGCAAGAGAAGCAGAGAAAAAGTCAAGTAAAGTTCAGTTAGAAAAAAGTTATAAAAGTTTCACAGTTTAATAGAGATAAAGAGAATAATGTTTTTGTAAAAGGTTGTTCTAAAGTAGTTGAACCCATCTGTGTGGACTTTGACGAAAAGGAGACAATTATTTAAAGTTTGAGATACAACTGTGGTAACTCACGGGGTAACATAAGTGAATTGCTCAAATACTATTGTGATAAGAGTAGAGAAAAGTAATTCATCATGTCAATAGATTCTAAAGTAATTGAATTAGTCTGCATGGACTTTTGACAAGAGATAATTATTTAGAGTTTTAGATACAACTTTGATATCCTATGGTGTAAAGAATTTTTGTACATACGTTTGACTTGTTTTGAATATATATTATTTTAAAACAAGTGGATTGTGTGCTGTCCGTTTATTGTTCGAATTTATCGCCAACTAGTCAAAGACACCTACTGTAAAGAATCCAAACCCCACTCACTAAAACCCTAACAGCAGTCCCAACGCTAAAAGAGTGCGAGAAATGCCTTCTTTTTAGCCAATAAAAATGTCCAAAAAATTCAGTTCAAATTAAGAAAAAACCGGATTGGGTAGTTTTTGGTATTTTTTCAACAAAAAAGCATCCCACTGGCTCGTGAAGCTGGTTCATAAAATGGCCACTAATGCTACAGTTCTCCATAGGAAGGTTTTTTAATGTTAAAGCTAGTGCCTTTAAATGTGCAGTAAGATGAAAAACTTGTTGTTTACTACTCATCCATTCACCTTAGAAATTATGTCAAACTATGATTAATATGTCTCCCATGGTACCTTTGTATCGTAATCTGTTGGTTTCTCGCTTGGGTAATGTTGTTCAACTAGGCTGCTAAATTCCTGTAATTTGATGAAATAGTGGTGTAGCAGAAGTAGTCCACAAAAACCTTGCAGTCATATATGGCACAATAGTAGTGGTAACTAGTTTGATCTTTGAATTTTCAAATTCAGTTTCTAGATATTTTATCCTGGTGTTGATGTTCTTTTGTAATTTATTAAAATTGTTTTTATAATCCTTCTGCACATTTCCAATGGCATCTTCGATCTTCTTATTACTACATTTCCCTACTTTATTTTATGCTCTTTGCATTTCGTTTGATTTTGGTGTTATAATCCTTCTCTACATCTTCAATCTTGCTGTTATCATCCTTTTCTAGATTTACTATGACTTCCTCGATCTCGTATTTGATTAAATTGATTTTTGTTTGAAATTCGCTTGTAAATATTAAGTCTCATTCTTGTAAAATCCTTCTAAAATTCTTGTCTTTTTTTATGATTTCCTTTTTATTGTCTTTTTCTTTGTGTTTGTTTGTGTGTTGAATTGTCCGTAAAGCTATTCGAAGGCTATTTGTGCAAGCCATCACAATTTTGAAGTGATAAACTAGAGAGAAGGCAGATAGTCAACACAAGCTAATGTCACCTCTTGGGCTTCTCTTTACCAACAACTAGTGGGATTGACCATAACTTGCAACGCCTTCGCGGATTAAAGATTGAGCATATTCAATTTCTTCTGGATTTTGTCTTTTCTTCTATCAATTTCTTCTAGATTTTATTTTATTTTCTGTTATCTTCTTCTTGGTCTTAATTCAATTTTGTCTCCGCCTTCTAATTTTCTGTCTCTTTCTTCTTGATTCTCTTTACACACTTTCATCATTTCCAGTAAATATTCAATCTCGCTTCGAGCATGTGTCGTTATTTCTAAGTTCAATCTTGATTTTCACCAGAAAAAAATCCTATTCCTGACATCAGTATTGTAACGGTTTCCAGTGTTGAGCAGTTTATCTCGAATTATTTTGTAAGAGAAAAAGAAGAATACATAGTCCAATCTACTTGATAATAAAAACGATATAAATAGCTACTTAGATGCTCATTTTTTTTTTGTATATTTGGCATTTTGTCGAAATAAAAATTCAATATCCACAAAACCAAAATAACAACCAGATATATTAATATACTGGATTACTCAGTAATCAATGAACAATCAACTGTAGTCTCCCCTAAATCAACCTTTATATTTTTATATCGTACTTGTTTTCTACTAACTAAAGGGAGCTTCCTGATGACACAATCATTATGACAAGCTCCCTCTAGCAAACAAACATCTGAATTAAAATATCAAAAATATAGCTTAAAACAATATTATTTCCAACTACTGTAATAGCCTTCGAGTACGGCCATTAACAATGTAAAGAATAAGATCACCAAACTTGGCACACTAGGTCATCTTCACAACTAGTAGAAATAAGAAATATGTTGAGCCAAAAGACAAGAACTATTACTGTTATACAATTGAACACCAGAAAAGTAGAGTAAGCGAACTTCAAGTGTCGTAATATTAAGATAATTGTACAACTAAAACAGTGTTACTTACGTGTATGATTTATAACCCGTTAACTACAAAGTATTATAGAGTTCAGTGCCCATTAACTAGACAAAATAAATCTTGAAAAAAAGTATACAAACATGATACTTAGATTGGTGGTTGAATGTTCGAGAAGTATGTTTCTTTTGGAATTAAAAGTTGTTCAACAGTCATCTGTTTTTAGTTTGTAAATTTAATT